GGGGCCTGGGCGGGGCCCCGTTTGCCGGCGGCCCCTGCAGCCGCGTCCGGGGTGGTTTTGTGGGGGCGGGGAGAGAGAGAGCTGTTTTGGGCGGAGATATCGTGTTTTATTTGAGGTCTCCAGGTGCCTTTTTGCTTCGGGGCGGGGAAGGGGAGGAGGGGAAGTTGAGCTCAAAGCGTGGCCGGAGAGAGAGGGAGCTGGAAAGGTGAGGAAGCTGCTTGGCCGGCTGCCCCGTGTGCAAGCCCGGTTCCCTAAGAGCCATCTCTGGGGGAATGGGAACTAGCAGCTCCCTGCTCTTCCGGTTCCCAGCTCTCCCAGCAGCTTCTGACTCTTAACTAGTTGCGTTCCCAGCTCCTCCGGAGACCTGGCGAGCTCCGCCAGCCTAGCCATGTTCCGCAGCCTGCGCGTGCGTGCACGCGCCTGGCCCGTGCTTTTAAGGTAAAGCCGTGCATAGCAAATGCTGTTAATGTGAGCACTTCCCTGCTGGGATCCAGACAAAAGGGGAAGGGATTGTCCTCCAGCAGCCCAAATCCATGAAAATGCTCTGGCTGCAACAGATCCGCACATGTGCTGCTTTCCAGCTCCCCAGCATTTTATTGCTCAGCTCCAGGAATTGGGCATGGTGGTTTTTGACCCTGCCGAACATTGCCCGAGTGTGTAATGTGCTATTCCTTTGCTGTGTTCTGAGGTAGGCGTTTGCCCTGCAGGTGTTGGTCTCTTATTGCTTCAGCCTTTCATGTCCCTCCCTCTATGGAAGTGACTAGTTATCTTTTTCTATTTCTTAATGTTATACTTGAGGATTTAGCAACTTCTAATTAAAAAGCTTCTGTGCTAAGCTGTTGAAAGCTCTGTCTGAGCCACTGTAAGGTCAGGTTTCTTAGTTTAAGGTCATGGTCTTGGTGTCAGTGACTTTAGCTCATGGAGGGGATGAAGCTCCAAGTAATCGCAAAGATAAGGTGTTGCTAAAGAGGCATCCCGTAACCTTCCAAAGATGGTGTGAGATTTCTGCCCTAATCCCCAACTTTTCTACTGACATTCCTGTAATGCCAGCGTGGCCGGCCCAAAGTGACACTTCCCCACAACATCCAGCTGCTCTTCTGGCAGCCAAGGCCTCGGTGTTCCAGTGCTCCCTGTGGTTGTGTGGCCGTCTCCCAGCCCGAAGGCTACATCTGCCCTTCTGAAAGGCCCTTGTTTGGGGAGCACTTCTTGTCCTGTCCTCAAAAGAGGAGCATCTGAGCACATCTCAGAGCACAGTGTGAGTGCTACTGGCAGGATGGCCTCTGGGGAGAGCCCTTTTATCTCTGTACGGGAGGGATCTCAGTGCTTGAATTAGAAACTGCCCGTGATTAAGCAGATTCCTTTTTGAGCCCTGAGACTTGCTGCTGTGTATCTTAGCTTCCAAAGTACAGCTGGGTACATTCCCTAAACGCATGGGTCAGTGTCAAGCAATTTTGGGATGTTGTGTTGAAGAGGAAGGTGGTTTGGTTGAGTGAATTGAGTATCTGAGGGATACTCTGCTGAGGAATATGTAGCGAGCTGGCCTGGTGAGCAGGGCATGCAGGCTTTGTGAGGGCTGGTACCCCACATGAAAGCAAAGACTGTTATCTCTTTTTGTATCTGTAAACATGTAGATGCACCCTGGTAAATATTTTTTTCTTTTTCTCTCTTTTTTTCTTTCTCTCTTTTTTTTTTTTTTTTATTTTGCGAAGGTCGTGGTGTGCTTTGTACAACACTAAATCAAAATGCTCCAAGATTTTTGCTTCAACACAACTCATGTGACTTGCTCAAATCTCTGTGCTTTTGCCTCTGGTTTGGCTGTGGTTGGCCAGTAGACCCTGTTTGCTGGAAATATGGCAATATTGCCTCAGTATTGTTTCAGTATTACTGCATGTCATGTCATCGGATTTGGAGTACATGACCCTTTGTTTTTCTTATGCTGCCCTTCTAGAGTAATTAGCTTGTCTGAACTTAGTGTTTCTTTTGAGGGTGAGCTTTCAGAATGAAGGGAAGTGACCTGTGTATCCCTTATCTTTAGGGATTACTGAAACTTGATCTTTCTGTGCAAAGACAACTAATCTCAGGCATGCAAATAGGTTTATTTAACTGCATGCCAGTGCTTAAATCACCGATGTATGAAATCCCCTGTAAATTCAGATGTACATACTGCTAATCACTCCTCCACCTGCTCTTTTTCCTTCTTCCCCACGGTTCAAGAATCAGCCCGTAAGTGTCAGTCACTGGAGACTGATGGTGACACATGTGGCAGCGCTTTGCAAGCTCAAGTCTCAACCTGTGTGTGCTCTTGATGCCTGGGCTTTTCCTGCCCAGTTCTGGGGATGGGAAGCAGGGTGCTAGTTTAAACTGTCCTTGGGATCCGCCTTCCTTTTGTGCTCTGCGCTGGAGCTCAGCAGCTTGCAGGGAGCCGAGCTCTAACAGAAGCTCTGCGTGGGACTTGGACTGTTAAAATTAAATCTGGGAGCAGCAGGAAAACTGGCTGCTGAAATACTTAAATATTATCAGCATCTTGCCATGTTTCTGTTACAGTACGCAGGTAAAGTGTATGTTTTGTCCAGCTTTCTTGAAAGCGTGCTTGTCTCTGATGCTTTTGAGGTGATCGTTGTAGAAGTATAGGATTATATGGGGTTGGCGAAGATAACTGTGAAAGCATGACTGCTGCTTCAGCGTGCTTGGGAATCTATACAAAGTGCTTATCTGCTAAACTGGTGATTATAAAGCTCTAACATTTAAGCTGGGAGTAGAGTGAAAAAGAATGCACAATACTTACTGAGGCTTCTAACTCGGGAGATCAGCTCGGAAAGCAAATGTTTTGCATCAGAATTCAACTTGAGCCTGTTTTTCTTCTCTCCTTTCCATGTTGTCATCT